TCCCTGCTGTACTTTCAGTCCTTCTGCCTTGTTCTCACTAACGAATTAATAAGTAGTCTCCCTGGCCAATCACCAGAAGGATGCTGGAGTTACACCAAAAAATTTAAATAGTCAAGCAGAATAATAAAGAAGACATCAATGTGTTACATTCACGTGGAACACATGGATTAAAGGCCAGCTCTTTTAAACGAGATCAGAACTATGTATCCAAAATGACAGGACAATGGCTACATTCAGACCCAAAGAAACCGCTATTTCCTTAAAAGCTCATTAATGAAAATAGTGAATAACTGCAGAAATAAGATAGCTTCCTTCAAATCCCTGTTTGCTTCATCCTTGACAATGAATAATTGATAACTTCTCTTTGAAAAAAATTTTTTTCCATTGAGTTTTGCCTTCGCTTTGTGGTAGTTTCATTTAGATCATTCTCCCCTTTCTTGTTTCTCAATACGTGACGTGGAATGTGTCAAAAGCGTAATTACAGTCAAGGCAGATTTAATTTTCTGTTTCTTCCCTGTCAGCAAGGCATGTTACCCCATCTGAAGGAAAAATTAGATTGCTTGGTCACAATTTGTTCCTAAGAAATTCATGGTCACTGCTGCTTATTTCCTTGATACGCCACGTGTGCTCCATAAATATTTGGTTTGTCTTTTTCAGTATTTTTCAGGAAATAAATGATAATCCAACTGGTTTCTAATTCCCTATCTCTTCTTTACCCTTTCTCACCTTTCTGAAGTCAGGCCACAGGGTTACCTTCTTCCAGCCTGGTTTTCATTCTCATTTATCTTCTGTTCATCCTCAAAGTTATCTGCCAGCAGCCTTTGGACTGTTCTTGCTCCCTCTCTACGTACTCCACGGGGAATGTCACCTTGCCCTTACACAGCCCCTGTAATTTAAAGCCATCCGTTTTCTTAACTTTTTTCACCTGTTTCCTCTGATTTCTTACTTTGCTGCTGTTGTTAGACTAGTTCAGGGAAAAACAATTTCTAATTAAAAAAAAAAAAAATGTCATGCATGTTCATATCACTCATAATTCAATATGCTTCCCTAGTATTTGTATAACAAAGACATTCTTACATTAATCTGTGTCTAACTAAATGCAAATTGCTTTTTGCCTTCCCCTTCCTTTCTGTTTTCACTATATATGCTCTTGCTATTTCTTTCTGTAAATCATTACTGGTTTGACCAAGCTCAAACACTCATGTTTTTTCTCAGGCTAGGGATCACTGCAAAGGTGGTGATTTATGCATGAAGATTTTTAGTGCCCTTCTTGCTTATTTATTTTGGTGGGGTTTGAAAAGCATGCTCTTTTTATTGCATCTTTAATGAACTGCATAGCTTCCTGAAAAATATTCTTCTAGACATTTTCCTCATGAGATATTGCTATCTGTTTTGCCAAGTCCACTTTGCTGAAGTCTAGTGCTTTCAGCTACAAAAACCAACCAAACAACAAAAGCAAATGAAAGAATAATTCCTGCAGAATAAAGATACCTAAAAATTTGTAGTTCTGTTCAGTGGCACTGCTGCTTTCCTTGAAATAATTACCACGGACACCATGGGAAATTTAATATTCCTGTACTTGCCTATAGAGCTGTTGTTTGGGCAAAGCTGTAAGCCCTGCACGAAAATCAAGTATCACAGGGGAGAGGAAGGTATTTTGGGGCAGGGCTGAGACCAAGAAGTTTCTCTTCATCTTGCTACCAAATTCTGCCTGGAGAATTTGCAGCTGCCCACGTCCGGCTCCCCATCCCCTCTAGTTCCCCATCCCCTCCAGCTCCCCATCCCCTCCGGCTCCCCATCCCCTCTGGCTCCCCATCCCCTCCAGCTCCCCATCCCCTCCGGCTCCCCATCCTCTCTGGCTCCCCATCCCCTCTAGTTCCCCATCCCCTCCGGCTCCCCATCCCCTCTAGTTCCCCATCCCCTCGGGCTCCCCATCCCCTGCAGCTCTTCATCCCCTCTGGCTCCCCATCCCCTGCAGCTCTTCATCCCCTCTGGCTCCCCATCCCCTCTGGCTCCCCATCCCCTCTAGTTCCCCATCCCCTCCAGCTCCCCATCCCCTCTAGTTCCCCATCCCCTCTGGCTCACCATCCCCTCTGGCTCCCCATTCCCTCCAGCTCCCCATCCCCTCTAGTTCCCCATCCCCTCTAGTTCCCCATCCCCTCTGGCTCCCCATCCCCTCTAGTTCCCCATCCCCTCCAGCTCCCCATCCCCTCTGGCTCCCCATCCCCTCTAGTTCCCCATCCCCTCTGGCTCCCCATCCCCTCTGGCTCCCCGTCCCCTCTGGCTCCCCATCCCCTCTGGCTCCCCATCCTCTCCGGATCCGGCATGCCACGGTCCTGGCTGCCACCACGGCTCCTCTCCCAGGGATGCCCAAGGGACACAGCCTGCCTGAACCTGCACATCACCCCCTCTGTGCTGCTGGGTTCATCCTCAGCCCCACAACCCACCCCCCCCCCCCCCAAACCTTGCTCACTCCACAACCCGGGTCACAGCACCCTTTGCAGACCAGCCGCCTTCTCCTTTTCAACCCATTGCTTTGGGCACAATGTTCCTCAACCTGTTCAGGTTTTCCTGGACAACCTGTGTGTGCAGCTTCCACCTGCACTAAACCTGATCATTTCTGGGGTGAAAGCCAGTCAGCTCTTGGAGAAATCACTGAAAATACTCAACCCTTTGAATTTATGATCGCTGAGGTCTCCAGCGATCATCCCATCCTTTCAGAAAGCTGCACAGCCTCCAACATAGCCAGGTTCACTGACCTCCTCCTTCCACATTCCCTGGAATCACCTGCACACTCCGTGTCACGTGGAATGGTTAAGGCAGAAAATCTGAGTGATAATCAATTCACCACTATCAGTCCCATTGGGTTCAATATACTAAACTGTTACGATTCAGACACACTAATAGTGGACGGCACCTTCAGTCCAGTCGTGCTCACGGACCAGCACGGCCACTCTTTGGTCGCGTTCGGTGAGAAACCGAAACGACGAGCTACTTAAACGGTACAGTTTATTTAAGTGACAGATATAGAGGTCCTTATGATTGCCGGTGATAAATACACTGTCTGCAAAGCACGTGCAAATAAGAGAATATATAAAGAGCGCAACAGAATTATAACAATACAGCCAGGCTATAAAAATGGAAAGGAGACTTTCTAGAAAGATTTCTAAGCTCTTAAGTCTTACCCAAAGGCATCCCTATAGAGGGAAAGAGAGGCTCAGCCCATCAACTGGCCCCAGAAGTTCATACGATGATGCCTTCCCCCACCTTCCTTGGGCTAATTTTATACTATTTTTTACCTTCAAGGTGGAGTTTGAGTGACTCTAGTCATAAATACTTTTATTAGGATTGGAGTAAAATTCTCTCGCTCTACAGTTAAAGGTATAAATTACGAAAATTCAGGGCTCAGACTCAAAGAGGAGCGGTCGCACCTTGGAGGCGGGCAGCCTTTGGGATGGAGGTGTGTTTTGGTATTCTAATGACATTCTAATGAGCAAAGCTCACACACAGGACAGCATTGCATCCAAATCCAACAGGAGGTTGGCTCAGGGTGGCCAGCGTGCAGCTTATCAGGTCTGTAGCACCAGCTCGTTCCCGTACCTGCTGTACCATCACGGGGAGGGACCCTGAGCTCTCCAGCCCGCTTCGCTCCCCGTGGTGCTTTGCAAGCGATATCGCCCCGGGAATCGCCGGTGACGTGGTGGATCCTTCACACACCAGCTGCAGCTGTATCTTACCCTAGACTCTTTTTTTGATTTTATACCTTTCCTTAACATGTGAACAATGCTATATTTTAGTAATTATACCACACCTAGGTTTTTCCCGGCCAGCCCCAGCCCAGGGCACTTCGGCTCGCCCAGGCAGATGGAGAAGCAGTGGCTCATCTGCAGCTGGAGGTGAGAGGGACATCGCCCACCATTGCCCCCCCGGACACCCACCCACACTGCTCGGAGGGCTGCGGACGTGCTCGCTGCCCTGCCGTTTCCCCCTCGCCCTCGGCAAACCTTGCTTTGACATCTCCGCTGCACTGAATATCTTGACATTTCCCTGAATGTCTTGACATTTCCAAAGGAGTCACTGGGCAAAAGCAGACCCCATTTTCTTGACACCACCCCCCCCCCCCCCCCCATCCTGACACCCACTTGCTGCCTGGCTGCCCTCCTGAGACATGGTCTTACTGCCTCCAATGTTGTTGTTTTTTTTTTTGGTTTTTTGTTTTTTGTTTTTTTTTCTCTCTCTCTCTTCATTTTCATCTGAACTCTGTCAAAACACTGACCAACTCGAGCCTGACCTCTGGCTCAGGGATTTTCAGAGCCTGTTTGGTGGCTGCGTTCAGGGTGTCCCAACGTGGTGGACTGGGATGGACCCACTCTGACAGCATGAATTTCTCAGACCTGTTTCTACAAACAGCAGCTCAGGGACCCCTAAAGTGGGTCTCTCCTATATCTGTCTCCCCGACCCCTGGCCCCTCTGATCCAGACATCAGACACCAAAAGCCAGACCCCTCACCCTCCCTGCTCTGGCCAGAAGTTCACTGGTGGATCGCACACACATTCCTTTAATAATTCCCCATAATTCCTGCTATCAGCCCTTCCGCTAATCTTCCCATGATTAGGCAATAATCCAGGAATTTGTGCAGCGTCCTGGAAAGAGTTTCTTCTGCTGAATTGCTTTAGTTTCCAAACAGGGACAATGGCTACACTATTCACCTCCGATGGTCTATAGAAGCAGTAGATGTAGAGGAACGTGCCTGGCTGTTTTCCCCACCCTGTCACTGCCCCTCTGAGCGGGGCCACTCGAGCAGATGTGGTCACCTACCCTTGCACATGGACTTGGTCAGCAGAGCCCCTAATGACCCCCAGGGGATCATTAACATAGGAAGCATTTTCACCCAGAGGATGTGCAGCAGGAAGATGGGTGCATTGAAGACCTTGGCTTGGCCCATGGCACTCATGCCCAGCATACCAGGACTTGTCCCACAGCTGTGACCTGTCCTTGCCTCATACCAGGGGATACCTGGGCATGAGGACCCTGAGGACACCTCTGCAGATCCGTTCGGTTTTTATGCTGTGGAAGATGGGGTTCAGCATGGGGAGGACCAGCAGGTAGATGCTGGCCATGAAGACAGGAATAAGATGCCAAGCATGCTGGCCCTGCTGGCCAAGCATGGACAAGCCAACCGTGGGGATGCCCATGGGGATCAGGACAGCCAGGATATGGGACAGGCAGTTGTTCAAAGCCTGAGATGTCCCCTCTGGGATGTGATGCTCAGAACGGCCCCCGCAATCAGTGCATCTGACATGAGGATGAGGTTGAACGTCAGAAAGAGACTGGCTGAAGCAAAGCTATACCATGTATTGTCATATATGTCTGCACACACCAGCTCGATCGGGTCCTGATGGAGACAGTAGATGTGGGAGGGTACATGGGACCGGCAGAAGAGCAGACCTTTTAATATCACAAATGGGGGGACAGTTGGTAAGGCTCATCTGTGCAAGGCAGCCAGCCTGCTCCTGCCTGCCCTGGCACCGGTGAGGATGGAGGAGGACTTCTGTGGGTAGCAGATGGCCACATAACAATCAAAGGCCCTGGCCAGAAGCACTGAGGGCTCCAAGGAGGATGAATGAAGTTTAAAAAGATTGAGTGAAACAAACATCAAAACTAACCTGCCTGGCATCAAACCAGAGTATACCCATCGCAGTTGGCATTATAGAGACAAGCCCAAACTGGTGGTGGCCAGAGTGGAGAAGAATTGGTGCTTGGGCTCATGGAAGCTCAGATCAGTCGTGGTAACAAACAGGATCGTGATGTTCCCTGTTAGTGACACAACATAAATGAAGGTGAAGGGAAGAGAGCCAGATGCTGGCAGTTTCCAGCCCTCAGATGCCTGTTAAGGACAAATATGACTGGTGTGAAGGTGAACTTCTTTTAGAGACATGATGTACCAGAGATGGCCTGCAGTTGAAAAGAATTATCAAAGAAATCCAAGTAGGAAGTCTAAAAGGGCATAGCAAACACATGTAAATGTGACAGATGTGAAGCCAAAGCTAGAAAGAACAAAGATGCCAAATAGAGACATGGACCAGATGCCACAAACTTCAGGTCCTGGAGAGCCCAGCAGCTGGGTGTTCAGTTATCTTAAGGTAAGGTCATACACAGAAGACATTTATAAAGCAGCTCATTTTTGGGTTCTCCTTCTCTGCATCAGATGAGCTGCAGCACTATAATGTAGTTTTCAGAGAAAGCACGCTGCTTATAAAAATAGTTCTGCACATATTAAATACAGGAGATACGAAAAACGTACCTGTGTCATACCACTATTTTACAAAAACCTTAGTTCAGTGGTTGGCACCAAAGAGCTCTTGCAGTTTTTGTGCTCTAAGCATATGGACAAAGACTACGATCTTGGCAGTAGGTCTACAGTTGGGTGAGAAAAGTTCCCTTTTTCACGTTACTCCGGCGGCAGGGCAGGATGGCAGAGCCAGGTCTGAGTGCTGCCTTGGCTGGGTGTGAGCCTGGACAGGAGTTTGCATCATTCTCTTTAGTAGCTTCGTGCTGAGCAGATGGACACACACTGCCATCGCCCTGTTCAGCAGCCACAGGGCCAGTGTGACCCTCCCACCTCATCCTTGGATGGCCCAGACAAACTGGTGAGCTGGCAGAGAAGAAGCCATGAAAACAGACCTTTTTAAGTTTTTTAATGGCAATTCTTTTCAAGTCACAAGGCTTGTGAAGAGCCTGAAGAGGTTTTCTTGACACAGATGTTAGTGCTGGAAAAATCAGAGATATTGTTAAAAGTGTGTCAAATATCTCACTCTAAGGGACTGTGGCGTTGCACCACAGACTTCCCTTCCCAATCTATATAACTAACTTTATGATCCTGGTGCCCAGCTCTGGGATGAAGGAGGGTCTCTGCTGGAAGGGCTTCCAGGGAGCTGCCCGTGAAGGAGCTGCTGCCTGAGCAGACCTGGAGGTAATTCCAGGGTCTTCCAGGGAGTCCCTGAAGGGCTGTGGAGGAGGAAGGAGATGCAAGCCCCAGCCCCCTCTGCACTGTGATTGAGACCCACACCAGAGCTGAACCCCCTCCTGACCCCAGGGAGCCCCAACTCACACACTGCCCAGGATGTTTCAGAATTGTCAGTTCAGCACGCCCACAGTACCCAGAGTGATCCAAATTCAAGTGTGGCGGCAAAGGGAACATCACCCAGATCTTCACCTAACTCATCTTGGTCCTTGAGTGTTCAGAAAGCAAATAGTTGTTGTTATTCATTACATGGAGGGGGCACCTTGTGAGGTGCCAGTCCCACCTGAAGGGCACCCACCACGCACACAGCCTGGGACAGGGCCAGGGGAAAGCTGGATGGCTGTGAAACTAAAGAAACAGCCCAACTATTCCATGTGCTGGCAGCTGAATGATGCTGTCAGGCCCAGCAAAACCTGATGAGGATGGCAGAACCCCTTGGCCCCCGCGTGCTTCAAGAGCTATTGGGCAGATGCAAGTGCATTGGTCAGGAGTAATTCATCGTTCTAGCTCAAGGGATGACTCATGTAAGGAGAGTATGAACTTGCTACTCTGCAAGTCCCATGTGGGAGACTGAACCATTGCCCCCAGGGGAAGTTTTGAAGCTACACAGCCAAAACCAGGTCATGGGCAGGAGGAGGAAAGCTGTACAGGCCAACCCGAGCTGCAGAGCTGTAGCCAAGGAGCTTTCCAGAGAGCCAAGATGCTCCTTAGAGGCACTTGCTGGGCTGGAAAAGCAGGTGCCACTTGCACCATGCAGCAGTTTGCATTTGGGTCCCTCAATCCCTACCCAGAAGGTCTGACTACTCCCGCACCCGTCTTCAAGAGGCTCGGAGGGAACCAGCAGCAGCGTGGAAGAGTGGCTGTGACAAGGGAGGAGACACTACAGGTTCTTCTCTCCTGGCTAGCTGTGGTCTGCTGCAGGAGCCCCAGGGTAGACACACAAGCAACTCCCCACCTCCTCCAGCAGCACGGAGCAGAGGACAGCAGTTAAGGAGCCATCAGGACCCAGGAAATCTACATCTACCCAGGATACAACGTCTTTCCTACCCCCCCGGCAGACCCCTGCCTCTACAGATCCCACACCCACTGCCTCCCAGTCCAGACCAGCAGCCTCGTTCCACCCTCAGAGCACTCCTACCTCCTCAGCAGTACTTAACTCCAGGACAGCAAGACTGATTCAGAGCAGTATTTTATTATCCCCCCACCTTTCAGGGAGTCAGAGCAGCCTGAAAGTCCAGACACCAGAGCTCAGCCAAGGACCCTGAACAAGCGCTGGTAACCCAGCACACAGCCATGGAACATAATACACATAACCCATCTGGGAACAGATGCAAAGGAGCTCGTACATCAGAGCAGAGATAGTATTGCTGTTCCTAGGATGGCAAAGGAAATAACCGCCTTTGTCAGCGGCTGAAAGTAGAGGCAGGTATCAAGGTCCAGCAGCGTAACTCATGCTGAGCACTTACCGGGGTGTGTGACCAGTTTGAACAGACAGACCTAAGCTACCCATGCCAGCCCTTCCTGGAAGGCAGCTGGAGCAGTCCAAGCCACGTCCCTTGAAGGAGCAGTCACAGGAACCCCCATCCACGGGACCCACAGCCCCCAGCTCCCAGCGCAAGGGCCAGAGGCAGCAGGACCAGGACAGACCACGGCCAAGCACTCGCAGCTCTGCCAGTCTCAGGAATCACGTTCTCCGTGTGAGCCGGGGAAGTTCTTTTTTTCCAAGCGTAGTACTTCGCCACAACCACATTGGGGTTTCCCTGGGCAGGGTCAAACCACATCTGGATGCAGCGTCCGCTGCCCCGGTGCTCTGTGGTGTATTTGTAGGAGTTGGACCAGATTTTCTCACACAGGTCTTTCGGTCGGGGGAAGACGTGGCTGAAGGGTCTGCACATGGAGCCCCAAGGACAGCGGTTTGTTCCTGAGGACAGACAGCACCAAAAGCAACATGAGCTAGCATCATGTCCTTCCATCCAGGAGGAGCAGGCCATCTGCCCACAGCCCAGCACTGCATCTTGGAAGATGGATGGTGGCTTAGCCACCTTCTAAGTCATCAACTCCACAGACAGTCGAGAGCAATTAGGGGTCTTAGCCCCAGCCACCGAGCAGATAGCAGTGACACTGCCAGGGGCTTGCCCTCAGGGGTGAGGAGAGGCTCGCTCCGCACAGCCCACCAACCTGTTGCCCAGTTCCAGCCCTTGTGCCAGTTTTCTTTGCACGTGACATAGTCCTTGCAATCCTCCCACCACTCCTCACAGTCCTCTTTGCAGAGCGGCACATGAAGAATCCTCTCCCGACGCCAGCTGCTGTCAGCCTGCAAGGGAACAGGACCACGCGCGCTGGTGCCGGCCCCTGAAAGTCAAGGGGCAGGATCTGCCACATCCCAGATTCCACCCCCCCACACCCTCCCCATCCTCATGCCCCTTCCACTGGGATCCAGAACTGATCTCGGAAGAATTTCAGCCCCAGCAGAGATGTGCCTTGACAACAAGCAATTCTTCCATCAGTCTGTCTACCTAAGCAGAGGCTAGACAAGTCCTTTGAATCTTTCCACCCAGTAGGAAAGTTTGCAGTGTCCCTGGAAGTCACACTCCCATACACGCCAGGGGTATATGGTATGGGGAACCAGCAGAGAACATACCCCATGGCCAGCACAAGCCCCATTGTCTTAACCACAGCAGATCTGATCCTACCTGGTCGATCCAGGGCCCCAAGTTGGGCGAGCACTCATACAAGCACGTGTCCTGGATGAAGTGGCGCTTGCACTTGGGTGGCATCACCCCACAGTGGTTCCAGTTGAAGTTGTACAGGTTGGAATTGTCCTTGTGAGCTTCTGAACTGGTGTTGGCTGTGCAGCAGGCGTTGTCCTTCCAGGGAGCACACTGGAACAGAGGAAGGGACAGGCTGGTCAGGGAGGGCAGGCAGCAGCTCGAGGGAGTCAGAGGGTGCTGCAGGTGCCTACAGCGAAAACCCTTCAGCAGCAAGAACCTCTCCTCCAGCAAACCCTCAGGTACTTTGGACTGAAAAGCTCAGGCCTGCAGCAAAATGGAGATGAAGAGCGGGAGGAGCACCCTAAAGGTTAGGTCCTCACCAGGAATTAGTGCCTGGAAGAGGAATAGACACAAAACCCCTTCTCTTGCACCCTAGCTTGTTCTTAGCCCCCATCCCCACCAAAGACATGGGGGCAGAGCTCTTCAATTAGCAAGTCTCTAACACAGAGAAAGAGCAGGTAAGAGCATCTTTCCCTGCCATCCTTTACCTTGTTCTGATCTGGGGTACCTAAGGTTTGGTAAGGGGAGGCCTCCCGGTTAAAGAGGGGTGATGCTGAGCTCACAAATCCTCAGAGCGCTGCATCTTCCCTAGCCATTTTCTAAAAGAAAACAGCAAACAAAGAGGTCGCACCCAGCACACGCTTCCTTCCTCAGGCAAGTGGTTGCCAAGTCCAAAGCACAAACCAGATTATATCCTCTGGGGAGGTCCATACAGGAGACCCCGAGAATCCCACCCACCCCTTCAGGGGAGCCATACCTGGTCATGCAGCATCCCCTCCGGGCCAGGCTTGGTTTTGTGGTGTTTGGCATCCATACAGACGTTCAGCAGCGGGTCCCTGGCCGACACCGCTGCGCCCGCAGCCAGCAGCACGAGCAGCGCCTGCCCCACTCCCATCCCGGCGCCGTGGGAGGCGATGGAGCTGTGCAAAAAGGGGACAGCACGGGAAGGGTTTTGCCAAAAGCAGCAGCAAATGTGGTGCGGGGCGGGGGGAGGGAGAGCCAGGCACTCCCCAGGACACGCCAGCAGCACGAGCAGCACCAAGGACGCAAGTGCAGCCCCCCCCCCCCCCCCCCCCCAGCAAGGCTGCGAGGTCAGCCGCACGTTATCCTCTGGGCAACGCCACATCGGAGACCAACAGCCCTTCCAGAGCCCGAGCCATTCAACAGTCAAACCTCAAACATCCCAGGCTGGCAAGGGGATGCTGCGAGAGGCCCATTCAGATCAGGGTCCTTCTGCATTAAGCCACCCCGCTGTTTCAGGGCGAAGCTTCCAGCTCCCAAACCTTCTGCTACAAGACACTGCTAATTAAGGTTATCTCCTTAGCTAGTGATTCAGAGGAGGTAGTTAAATGCACTAGCACACTGACACCTTGCACAGCCCAGGAGCTTTTTTTCCAGGAGCATGCCAAGAGAAGAAAGCATTTTCTTTACTTTATCTGCACCCTTTGGAGACCCACACCTGAGGTCTTCCAGGGAGACCTGACTTGAGCAATAAGACACTTCACATAATCACGCCTTGGGCTCCTCTGCCCACCTAGAGGCAGACAGGACTTTTACAGGAACTTACTGAAAAAAACCCAGCCAACCGAGCCACGAAACAAGAAAGGCCCTCAAAAAACCCAAACAACCAAAGACACTGCAGTACTCCCTCACATTCCTCGTTAATACAGCATAAGGCTCTAAAACAATCACCTTTTAAAAAGCATTTTGCAAAACACAGCAGCAAGACAAAACCTTTACAGCATTAAAATAGCTCAAAACAACATAGAAGACAGCAATTGCCAAACTAAGGAAGCAGACACAAATCTGAGTACTAGGAAGTAACTAAATTGCATTATAACTATATATATAGCTAACAAAAAAACCCCTAAAACCCCAAATTTCAACCTTACCAGCTCAAACAGCCTCTGAACCTCCTGCAAAAACACCCAGCACAGGAACTTCCTGCAGTCAGCTTTAATAGGAAAGCTTCTAACACAGGTGCTGGCACTTCAAGTACCCTCCTAATACGTTTAACGAGGTTTAACTTCTGCCAGCATTTATTACCTTAGAAGCAGTTGTTTTGGTGACAACCAGCTTGTCCAGCCTCTTTCACAAGCAACACCCTCTTGCCTGGGAAACAATCTAGTGTTTTTTTCCAGAAGGCAGGTCTCTTATCAGCCTTGGCCATTCATAACAAACCTTTTTTCTCTGCTTGCCTTACACCAGGCAGTTTTGATTTGTACCATTGCATGAGACAAAAAAACCAAAGAGGGACAGATCCAGGATTCTGCCATGCACCAAGAATAAATAGAAAGGAGGTAATGCTCATTACAAAAAAAAAATGATATGCAGGAAAAAGTGTTATTGTCTCCGAAGGAAGAATAATAACTCACAACACAAAAAATAAATGCTAGCTGGTGAGGGGAAATGGTGCACCTTGTTGCAAAAACCTGAGAACAATAATTGAAACAAAAAGCTAGGGTCTGCTCTCAAGATCCCTTGAAAAGTCCTCAGCGAAGGAGAGGAGTTTTCGTCCTGGAACAGCACAGGTTTTGGGGCTGTTTTGCTCTTTTCTACAGTCACATGACTGACATTTTGATGATGAGCCCACTTGCCTAAGGAGCTCATCTTCCTAAATTTAATGCATGGACCCTTTAGGAGACCCTGCTTCAGTGATTTCCACAGCCTAACAGCACGCTGCATGAATAATGGCCTCTGTGTGGTCATGCTGAACCAGACGAGCTGGTTTCATTTCTCACGCTTCTGGGTCTCATAGGGGAAGTGACGGCGAGCAGGTCTTCCCCCACTCATCGCTGAGCTTTTGACACCTCTGTCATTGCTCCCCTCTGTTGCCTCTTTCCAGCCAAAGCCACGGTCTGCTCACTCATTTCCCATGACAGATGTTTTGCTCTCCAAGGCATCAGGACAGCAGCAGTATTTCAGATGCACAACACCGTCCTGGCCTTGTTTTCTGGTCCTTGCCTAGAAATTTCTAATATCTATCTAGTTTGTTTTTGGAACTGCTGATCACTGAACTGTGTTGTTGTAACACTATCATAACTGTGACAGCTTGTTCCTGAGAGATAATTGTTAGCCACCAGCCTGTCATTTTCTATCTGAAGCATTCTGTTTTTTCCCCAAGTGCATCACTGTATATTTATCTCAACTGCTTTTTATTTTTTTTTTTTTTTTTTTTATCTGTTGTTTTACTGTTCAGTGACTCAGCCTTATCAGGGGTCTTCTGCAGATTTTTGCAGCTGGTCCTCCTGTTCCTGAAGTAATCTAATATCATCAGAAACTTGGTTGCCTTGCTGTTTTCCCCTCCCTTTCCTAAGCAACCTGAATTGAAAAGCAGAAATCCCAGTACAAATTCCTGAGGAGGTTCCCTGTAAAGGATAGACGTGCACCTTTATTTGACGAGTCAATAATTCAGTGGTGTGTGGAACTCTCATTTCATGGCTGCTTATTCGTTGAGCTTCAGTGGGGACCTTGCTCAGCACCCTTGTGAATCCAGGTAGACTCTCTCACCTGGATCTGCCCCAGCCAGGATCCTTCCCAGCCCTTGGAGGATTTGCAGTACGTTAGGGAGTCTTGTCTGCGCGTTCGATGAGCCATACTGACCCTTTCCCCGTGCTTATCCACCTGCCTCTGGATTCAGCCCTTTCTTACATTTCCTGCAACCTTCCCCCACGCAGATGCTGCGTTCGCAGCTCTGCAGATCCCTCGGGCTCGCCAGAAAGCCGTTCAAAAGCGTCCCACGTGAGCGCGTGGACCTTGTCCTTGCAGGGGGGTGCTTGTACACGCGGCAGTGCAGGAAATGGGGGGAATTCCCTCCTCTCTGTGTAGTCGGGCCTGTATCCTTGCACTTCATGGGAGGGGGGCGGCCGGGCGCATCCGCGGGCGCGCCATCCAGCCGGTTTGCCTTGAGCGACCTCTCTCCCAGGGTCTGGGATTGAATTGTTTCGGCTGCTCCGTCCCTGGGGTCGGATCTGGGGGAGCAGCTGCTGGGTAACTGCTTTAGGGATTGCAGTTAGTGCCCCCGCAGATCACGGATCTCCTCGGAGATGCTGGTGGTGTCCCACGTGGCTTTCCACTGCTGCTGCTACGAAGGGCTACGTGAGTTGTTGTGATCAGAATCTCATTTATGGGCAAGAAGTAAATGTACTTTATGGATAGAGCCAAGAATTAATTGTTAGTGTAATTGAAAACAGACTAATACAAGAAACTTTGTTAGTCCAGATCTAGTTATTGCAGAAAAAAAATATAATTAATATTTCTGTACAGAAAAAGAAATAATAATAATCATAACAATAACAACAACAATATACTAATAAAAATAGTAATAATATTACAATTGTTATACACAAACTTCCCTGTTTCTACCTCTTCCCTGGGGTCACACCTACCCTCTCACTGCTCCTCTGGGTCCTAAGGTTGGTGACTTCACTTTGGTGGTAGATGTTACATCAAGTCATCAAAATCTGGAGTCCTTCACAGGGAGGAGTATGATATCGATGTTCATGGCTACCTCTTCCTCACTCTCAGGGTCCATTTTGTGGCTTTTTTAAACTTGCCAACATACTTCTGCACCTTGCTTTTGCTTCATTAGTCTGCAAGTCCATGCAGATTTCCTAAATATGGTGCGTTTTATGCATGTTAGATACTTGTTCTTTGCTCTCTTTTTCACCCCTGAACTGGTTTTGTCCAACTCTGAGCCCGTATTTCTTTCACTGGCTATTCCTGAGTTGTTTATAGCTGTGATGTCTCCAGTGCCAGCCTGTGCCCCATCTCTCATTGCCTCACACCTGCCCTCCTCTATGCTGCATCCTCTGTCCCCACTTCTCAAGGGCTTTGCCATCCTGCCAGACCCGTACTTCCCAGTGCTACACCATTATGTTGAAGTCATAAATACCTCATTCAGCACAGAATAGCTACTTTTTGTTACTATCTGCATAAAACTGAAACTCTGGTTGCACCATACAATGGTAAGCAAAAAAACCCCATAGGCATAGTCAGAATAAAAATTGCCATTAACGCTAAATTTGGTAAAAACAAAGCTCCGGGCAGGTCAGGACAAGTTCGAAGGCAGCAAAGCTGGCATGCCTCAGTCCTCAGACCTTGCAAACTCAGCACAGAGCCTGTACCCAGCAGTGGCCACGGTGCGGTACTGGGCTACGGGGTCAGCGTGTGTCCTGGGTTGAGTGAGTGGTGGAGTTTTTTGGTGGCAGGGGAGGGGGCTATCGGGGCGGCCCCCTGGGAGAAGCTTCTTGAAGCTCCCCCAGCTCCACGTCAGCTCCACTTCTATTTGGGAAATTGAGCCCATCAGCTGCGCCTCTGCGATAACGTATTTAAGAAGGGACGTGGTGACGGGCAGTGGGACTGGTGAGGAGGAGTTGCTGCAGCTGCGTGAACACCAAGGTCAGTGGAGGAACGGAGGAAGAAAGGAGGGGGGAGGTGTGCCGGAGCAGAGACCCCCCTGTATCCTGTGGTGAGACGGCAGGGCGGCCCCCCCGCCACCCATGGAGATCTGCGGTGGAGCAGACATTGATTTATGGCCTGTTGTTCCTGCTCTGATGATCAAGGTGCTGTGCCCGAAGAAGGCCGGGGTCTCATGGGAAAAGGCAGCCCCGCTGCTGTAATTCAGCACTGGGAGGATTGCAGCATGCGGGGGAGTCCCACACCGGAGCAACTCGGGAAGGGCTGCAGCCCGTGGGAGGGAATCCAGTCGGAGGAAATTAGTGACCCATGACGGAGCAGTGTGGGGAACGCTGCGGCCCGTGGGAGGAATTCAAGTTGGAGAAAGTTTGTGGAGGACTGTCTGCTGTGAGAGGGGGACCACGATGGAGCAGGGGGGAGCAAGTTTTGGACACTCCCCTCACCAAAGAGAAGGGAAGTGGCAGCTCTGACTGCACCCCCCATTCCCTGCCCCTGCGCCCCTGGGGGAGGAGGTAGAGATATCGGGAGCAGAGCTGAGCCCGGGAAGAAGGGAGGGGTGGGGGGAAGGTGTTCTCAAGATGGGGCAATGCTTCTCACTGTCCTACTCTGTTATGTGTTGTTAGTGTCTGTAATAAATGTATGTTCTTTTTTTCTTCCCCTAACGAGTCTGCCTCTTGCTCGTGATCATAAAGGGGATTTTTTCCCCATCCCAGTCCTATCTTGAACCCCAAGCCTGGCTCTCTGTCCCTTCTCATTGCCGGAGGGGAAGGGAGAGAGAGCTGCTGCATTGTGGTTGGCTGCCAACCAGGCCCAAACCACGACAGCGTGCGGGACCCATGTCACGGCCGCCCGGCCAGGCGGATGCTGAGGACATCTCCAATGGGACTCAGCACCAAGGGGTGTGTGTGTGGGGGGGAACCGAGCTGAGCCCCCGATCGCCACCGACTGCTGGGGGCTGGGATGCCCCGTGCAGATGGGGACCCTCATAGAGACCCCCAGCACGAGGAGGTGCCTGCACAGAGGCCCCGGTGTCCAACCATCTCGCGCTGGAGCTGCATCTCAGCCCTGGAGTCCTGCGTGAGGGAACTGGCGTTTGGCACCAAGAAGAGCAGAGATAACCCCAGGGTCCCTGAGAGAACATCTGATGTTTTCTTCCTTTCCCGGAAAAAAATTGGTTAAAATGTGCTTTAAAAGTGAGTGTAAGCAGGGGATTTCTTGATGCACATAGAAGGAAAGGGGGAAAAGGGTGATATATTTCACGTTGGACAGATATCGTTGCTTCGGAATTTTTATTTCAAGTACTTGATAGTTCCGTCTGTCAAAATTTTTGTTGCCTAAAAAATTTAGGATTTTGAGGGCGGTTTCTGTTAAAACTGCAATCAGAGATTACATGATACAACTCTTGGCTCACTCTCATCCTGTAACAGAGAATGAGAAGTTTTCTGGGCCCCGGCACACCAGGGCAGCCCAGTGATCTGCTCTGTCAGTGGACGTTGCAGGCATTGCTCATGGAGAATAAGCAATACGGCTCTGTATAGGTGGATAGCTCAGCTGAG